GGAATCGGTGATGGGTATTGGCAATCAATATGTTATAGGAGAGGTTTGTGATTGGGAGGTTTGAAGATTATCATGTATAATGGAAAATTCTTGCTTTCACAGTCTTGCCATGAAGGGATCAGTATTCTACATGACATTCAACATATGCTATATGTTCTTTTAGATCAGTGTCAGTGGAACAATTTAATCAACATTGTACTCCTATGTTTTCTTCTTCTTTCCTTTATTTACCTTTACTAAATTATGAATTGTGACTTTACTAACTCCAATGAAATTGTAAAATGAGTTTTTCAATAAAGTAGTGGATTAGCAGAGTTACTACAAATGAAATTTTTTTAAGAGAGAAAAGCTTTACACAAGAGATTCATATTGATTCAGCCCAACTACTTGACCTACATTTAGTCCTCAAAATCATACTAGATTTTTTACTAAAGTCAAAAAGTTTAACTGGGTGTTAATAATCTCCGTATAGAATAAAAACTTACAACATTGAACTTTTACAAATTCCTAACAAAGCCTTTGTATGATAAAAACTCTCTTAAGGAAAACCTTTTATTGAGATAACTCGATAAGGATTGAGTAAAATAAGCTTAAAACTCTCAAAAGTATAGTTAGAATACAAATAAAAGCTTATAAACTAAAGCTAGAAGCTTTTCACAAATAATGAATGAAAAATAGGTAAATAATAGTTGATGAATAATAAATTCCTTACCCACTGACTTTATAAGTTTGTCTTATCAAACCACAATTAACTCTAAAATTCAAGATAATCATGAAAATAACCCAAAAATATCAAACTTTTAAAATTTATAGGAATGGGATCTCAAGATTTCAAAATTTTAATCCCAAATATAGTTTTATACTTTAAAAATTAGAATAAAAGATGTTCATGAAAGCATGGTATATTTATCTATAACAAAGCATATGCAATTAGAGAGAAAAATAATACTTCTCTACCAAAAGCATTGATGCGCCATGGCCTATTACAGTTGTGCCATGGCATAATTGCCTCTATGCCATACGTCGTGATGTATTGCACATTTGTGATAGCAAACCTATTATCAAATGACAACTCTTGAGACGAACTTTCAATGTGCCCTAATTCTCCATTCGATGTCCAATTGAGGTGATTTAGGTATCCACAGAAAACTTTTTCCAAGCTTTAGGTAATAGCACTGGCTTCATATTCAAATTATTTTTCATTCAAAAGTTAGATACATATTTCAAATCTCACTCCTTTATAACATTATCACACAACTTGTGTGTGTAATATTCAATTCAAAGGCCAAAAGCTCTTACAAACCTATAAATCACACTCAATCTATACAAGACTTGTGTAATACACCACAGCAAATCAATCATACATGCATAACATTTTCATCACTCAACCCCTTAGTTACAAAACATAAGGGAGATCCAAATTGTCATAAGTTATCGCAAAAATCATCATACCCATTCATTCTACATCTCCTTATCAGGGCACAAAATACATATTCAATTCAATCTCACAATTAGTGCAAGTGGTCAAAAATCACATGATATCCTAGTTGATAAATTATCAACAAATACACATAATTAAATTCTATGAGAGGCTTATAGTTAGGATTTCACAGAATCCTATGCCTTAGGTTGTTTTCTCCTATTATTAATTCAATGAGCTAGTCCTTGTAATATTGAAGAAAACATGTAATTAATTATAGAAGCAAACGTCAATTATACTGTTTTCACAAGATGATTTGCTTTTTAAGATGTTGCCATGTACACAATACTAACAACCAAGTGGTTGGGCGTAAACATAACTCAAATCTTATATCAATGTTGAACATTTAACACATATATGGTCATAATACTAGTAACCATGTGGCCCTATCAAATTATGCCAAACCATACCAATAACAATCATGTGGTTAGGATATGATGGGCATGATCAATGACCCTCATGATACCTCGACATGAAATTGATGACTATCTAGTAAGCCTTCTACTCATAAGGAGTTGCCTGGCCAATGCTACTACGCTCACTTGTAAGACGTAATTTTTCCCAATACTAATAACCATGGGGTGTTGTGCCCCTAAACTAACCTTCTCATAAATCGGTAGAGATTAGTTAGGATTAAATCTCTTAAAGAATAAGTGGGATAGTCCTTCAACAATAAGGGAACAATGACTATCTCCCTATTCCAACGGTTAGTAGTCTGGCTAGCTTTCGATTTTAATGATAAGCAGCTAATACCACGTGGATTGATAACATTTACTCCTCTCCTATAAGCGAACTCCCACCTCATTTAATCATACCATACACATATAATCAACATAGTATGTACATTCATACTCATCAATAATATGCAATTCACTAACATTATTTTAATTATAGCATGCTTAACACTTTTCCTCACACAATAATGTTCAACAATATCTTAATCTACAATTTCATCACTTTATGCTTAGTCAACAATGTAAATTGTTTATATATGTATATATATCTACCTTGATACACCATTTTTATCAATTCAACACATTCTTACATACGTTACATAAAATCATGACTTTGCCATGATTTGCATCAAAATTTGTTTACAAATCTTATATGATTAACAATCAAATCCTTTCAACAATAATCAATTGAACATGCAAATACACAAACTAAATTCCCCTCGATTATCTCAAACTTTTTTAAAGGTTAAAAGTTTACCTCTCAAAACAAACACTTCCAAAGATTTTCTCAAACTTGAATGGTACCAATGGTAATTAATTTACAGTTAACCACATTGATAGTCATTAATATCCTCATTAGGATAATTTTCAACACTTAAACTCAACACTTCACAATCACAACTCCCACTTTCAAAAATACCCATTAGGTTTACTAGCTTTCTTTAACTCACATTATTATTAATAAACTATTAAACCATCATTAATGACCATCAAGCAGCTCCAACAACCTCATTTAATACACATTTTTGAATAACTAATGCTCTCACCAACCTTTATTTAATACTATATTTACATAACCTAAATAAATCTCATTAACTCTATTTAAGTCAATGGGTTCAAACTCATAGCTTCTATGAACCAAAAATCTACTCCCAACTATAAACCCTAACTTAAACCTTCAAGAAAATGGAAGGGAAAGGAAGAGGAAAGCTTGATACACTTACCTTAGGTGTTATCTTGCTCCAATGTGCTTTCGAACCTTCTATGTAGTAAGCCATAGTAGAGAAAAATGTGTGTTCTTTATTTTCTCCCTCTCCCTCTTTTTGATTTTTAAATTGCCGCAGGTTTAGTTAAACTAAAAATTGACCATGTATGCGCTGTGGTGCATGCACCACATGCTATGACATATGGCATAGAGAGGCCCATTTTTCATAGCTTATCACGTATGAGTTGTGGCGAAGGTGGTACATGCTAAGATGTGTGGCACAAAACCTCTTTCATTTGAGTTTCTCACTTTTTGATGTTCAGGTAGCTTGATTTTGCTTTGAACCTGAATTTAAGGCTAAAATCATAATACAAACATTCCTTAGACCTCTTTGACCATACACCATATTAATTTATTTAATTATCCTAATTAGGCTTAAGTAATGAGGGTTAAATTTTTGGGATGTTATAGGCTTAAATAAGGTTCTATTTATAATGTTGAAAGTTTATGATCGTTAGAGTCCTCAAACTAGCTGTTTAGAGATGTTGCATTGCGTGTTAGAGGTAGCCACTGAGAAAAAGCATTTTATTTGTGAAGTTCGTTAAATGTACATTAGAACTCTACTTTACGCATGAAGGAGCTTGTTCTTGTATGAATGAGACTTATAAAAAGGCTTGTGTAAAGCTTAATCTACTTTTCATGTGCAAGTATTCTAGTTTTCATGTGTTTTAGCTAGGCATAAGCATAAGCTTCTCTGGACACTTACTTCATGCATGAGCTCTATTTGGTTGTCATGAGAATTGGATGACAAATTAAAGGTGAATGGCCTCTGAAAGTTTAATCTTGGGTAAGATCCTCTTTTGGTAAGGATGTTTAACTAGTTCTGAACGGAAGACATAGGATTTTTCATGAAGTGTTCAAGTCTTCTATGTAACATCCTAATTTTTATTTATAAATTTAATTGAAGAGATTGTGCATATATGAGGATTTAATTGAGAGAATTATGTATAATTGAGGTTTATATTAAATATTTATGCACATGATTATGATGAAAATTAGTTGATGGAATTGGGTGGCTATAGCTGATGAAGTGGTGTATAGGATTTTTTAGGCAAGGATATTCAAATATTTTCACATTATAGATGGACATATTAATTAAAATTTAAATCTCATTCTTATCGTCATACCAAATATATTTTTAAACTTAGTCATATTTTCAACTTTACTTTCAATTCCATTTCTTCTTTCTTTAAAAACTCTTCCACCATATTAAATGGGGTATAATTGTTATTTGTATATCTCATGAGTATTTTTCTATCAATTTTTCTAATTTTTAAATTATTATTATTATTATTATTATTATTATTAAATCTTCTTTTAAAAATTAATGTCCAACAAGTATTCAAGATTCATAGGTAAATGCCATTTTCACGGCAATTGAGTTGTAAATTAAAATAGTGCAATAAATTATAAATTTTCATCTAAATTTCATTTATAATTTAAGAGATTTAATTGATATTAATTTTTTCATAATATTCATTTATAATTTTTTTGGTTCATTTTCCATAATTTATGCGATATTTTTTGCAATTTTTTAAGTGTTTACGTAACTGTTAAAATTAACATTTATTAATGAAGAAAGAATATTGCACATTGAAGGGGAGATTCAAGATTGTACAAAAGAAATTTGAGATATGAGACACTCATGACAAAACCTTTAATTAACCCTACATTTTATTATTTACATCGATATCGTTCTGCAAAGGCGAAAATCTTTTGTTCGTTTTCAAGTTACTTTCCATTCTAGAGCCTCGAGATCAGTTTATTTTTCCAATACATGCTGGTCAACCAAATGCGTAGGCCACACAGGGAAATCATCGACCGTAAATTTCGGACGCTATCGGTCCCTTCTATAGCTTCTTCTTTCTATCATGAAATGATAAAACCAATCCCTTTCGGTTCCGTGTTGTTTCCTCAACTCTCCACATTTAATACGCTGCTTCAGTTGGATTGAGTCTTCTCTTCTCTTCTCTCCCACTTGTTCCTTCTGGCCGAGCAAGCTTCTCCTTCCATCCACTCTGCAATGGCGAACTTCTTCTCCAACAAGATCAGGCTCTCTTCCTCTCTACTCAAACGATTCCAACGGCACGCAACCAGTGCTACTCCCTCGCTGTTCATCGCCAGATCTTACACAACCGAAGGCAACCGTCCTACCATGATCCACAAGCGCAGCCTTGACATTCTCCATGACCCATTGTTCAATAAGGTATATCCCGCCATTTTTTTTTGAATCGTTAAATAGTTCTTTTTTTTTTTCTTTTCTCCCTTTTTGCGTCAATTAGTGAGTGTGTTGTCTTATATATGATTTGAAGGTCGCATTGCACTGGCTCCTGGGTTGTTGTTTGTGCATTACTGTTTGTAAAGTGAATTTTTTGAGATGCCAACTTAATTTCTTGTTTTGTTGATGTTATGTGATAGGGGTTTTAGTTTTAGAGTACAGTTTCGATTATTCTACTCTCTGGGAAATTGCTGTCTGATTACGTGAATTTTACTCGCGGGGAAATTGCTGTCTGATTACATGCAGTTTCGATATTTTTCTTATATTATAGACAATCAAGCCTATTAAATCATGATTTATTCTTCACTGGGTAGCTTCCTTCCAATTTTCTAATTCTTTTTTCATGTTGACTTTTTCTTGAATATCCTTCTTGACCAGGCTTCTGAAACTTTGATGCTCTCTAATTTTCATATAGTGGTCCTAACGCTTCTGTTGAAGCTGCTATCTATGCACAAGTGATTGCTGTCTTCAGCTAATCTGTTACATCATCTTAGAAAATGCACTTGATATTTGCTGCAAGTCCTTTTTTGTTCCTAAAGGCTTGATAAACGATAGAGCACAATGGCGTCTTGCAATCCATGTAGCCGACCCCACCTAGTGGGATAAAGGCTTGTTATTGTTGTTGTTGTATGATCGTTGTGCCTATTCTGACTTTCACTGGAGTTAATGAACCAAATAAATACTCCGCCCATTCACACATGTTTATGTTGAATGAGCAAATTAAGCTTTTTCATGAAGAACATGTTCTATTTACCAACTTTAATTTTGTTAAGAAAACATTTTTTTTAATTAAAATAATTTTGAATTTTACATTTTCTTATATCAATTTTAAATGATAAATTCCATTTTGGTGTTTTAATGTTAGGGAACAGCTTTTACCACGACAGAACGGGATCGTCTTGATCTACGAGGATTGCTCCCTCCAAATGTTATGTCTACTGAACTACAGATTGAGCGCTTCAGTATGTAGTTATATATATATTTTAACTTTTTTGTTCATTCAAAATTGTATTATTTATTTTTTTTTTAGTGGTCTTTGGTTGAGCTGACAATAGAGTTAATTTTGCTTTCAAAATTTGGGAATCAAGGCTTTCTAATATAAGCTGCTTCTAAGGTTCAATGGTTTGTTTTGTCTATGTTTGATACATGGGAATTAGGAATGTGAGGGTAGTTTGGGCATTTAGTATACTCTATAAATAAGCCTTTAGGTTGTAATGGGTTATTATGAATGGAATTTATCTCTCTCTTTCTCTCTGTTCTTCTTCTCCTCTCCTCTTTCTCCCTCTTTCTCTTCTGCCTCTATCAAAGGTATTAGAGCCTCCTCTCTGGCCATGGAGGAGCCGCCGGAGATTCGATCCTCCGATCGTAAAGGTGAACTAGAGCACTGCCTTGATTTTAAGCAATCTATGTCACACATGTCACAACAGATGAATGAAATCTCGACTAAGCTCACTCTACTTATCAACCAGCGCTTGTACCCTCCTTCGACAATGACGACATATGTGTCTACTACCACCATTCCTCCTCCACCTTTAGTCACCAGAAAAACGATCCTCATAGTAGTCATAGAGTTAGGACAGTTGAAGCACGTTTCATCTGTGACTGAGTACGCATAGCAATTCCGAGAAATCTTACCGAATGCACACCTTCTAGAGTCCACTGCCATTAAGGTCTTCATCAATGGACTTCAGCTTGAACTCTAGAGATTTGTCCGAGGCTTCAATCCAAATAGTTTAGCTAGCGCCATATATATGGCGGATTTTCATGAGAAGTATGGCCAGAAGGGGAAGCAAGACACGGAGAATGATGGTTCAACAAGTATAACTAACCTCGATAATGACTTTGACGAAGATGAAAAAGACGAACATGTAGAGAAGGAGTTCACGATTCTAGAAGCTACCGATCAAAAATTTAAACAACCAGAGTCGGCAAAGTCTACATGCATAGAGGATGCGACAATAATGGAAAACTCAGTGTTTGAGGAATGTGATTTTGCCAAGAAAGATGTGCATTCAACAACACTCATTAGCTCCCTAAATCAAGAATCAGGACAGTGTCTGGTATTAACGAGCCCATCTACACTCGTCAACTCAAAGCAGTTGGAGCAGCTGATGCCTCAGACCTACTTAACAAGGGATTTTTGCACTATGCTTCCTTCACCAATTTTTGGGCCTTCTCTTCTTAGTATTTCAGTCGATTTTTCAACACTTGCTATCATGCATCTTACACAAGGTAAGCAATCATCATCATCCAATTTCCGAAATAGAGCACAAAGATTCCTCAACGATTCCAATGGCAATGTTGGAGTCTCCCTTCCGCATCGGAAACTCGACACCTACTATAGAGTTCTCAGACAATTCAACATCAATGGCAAGATACTTCAGATTTCCTTCAGAAAATCTCATTAAACTCATGTCATTGGTCCTCTGATGTGTCTCCGTCATCGGTGGAGTTCTAACCATTACACTGCAAAAGAATTCTTGATCGGATGTCGAAGGCGATACAGAGCAGAATCGGGCAGAAATGCTGTTTTTGGTGTCGAGTCAAGCTCACTAGTAGTCACGCCTCTGAGATCTTCTCTTATTAGGTTCAATGGCGCCGCAATGTTCACCGTCCTGGGTACATGTCCAGAATCTTCCGCTCACTGTTGCCGCTCAATTGGGTTCACTACCTCTCCAAAACTTCTTGGGTCGGGTAGGCTGTTGAAGACATTGGGTCGAGTGGTGTTCGCAAAGAGATTACCAAATTCGAGTTTTTCAGATTTTCTCTTGGGTCTGAGATCTCTTTGCAGAGTGAAATGAACAGGTCAAATGTACAGGGTCATCAAAACGGTGTGGATGTTTGGGGAAATGGGTTTTGGATCTCTAATTTAGATACGCATACAAGCTTCGCGAGTTTGGATGTTGCGGGTCGCAGATTTTCTTTCAAGTTTCTGGAATCTTCTTTAGTGGGGAGGACGTGCATCTGCTTTGCGTTTCCACGATCATGTTGCTCCATGCTGCTATTGCCAGGTGTATTCCAGATTTCCTCCAATTGTTCCCCACGTGATAGCAAGGGTAATGACAAAGAATTTAATTTACTTTGGGTGGCTAAAGGCAACGAAATTGGGCCTTCCCAAAATGATCCAATAGTGCAAATATCTTTGACTAGTAATTGGAAGCTTGACGTGGGCCTCTAGACAAGCATGCTTCAGTGCTAATATATGGGACCCGTTGTTTCAAGTATGATTCAAATGCAATTATGGGCATTTTTACAACATTTTAGCTGCTCGAGTGCCTTCCATGAGTTATTTCCCAACAATTCTAAAGTGGGGTTAACCTACAATCAAGAGGAGCTTTGTGAAGTTCGGCTGAAAATGGGCTTATGGTGGGCGAAGTATGGACCTATTATACAATTATGGATCCTCTACTCATTGGTTTTTAGCATCAACAATTTTATATGGAGGGTGACAATGGACTTCTATATTAAAGAAAAACTGCAGAAAATCTGGGCTTTTGATGTTCATTAATTTTTTTTTTAATTTTTTTTCCTCCAGGCTATAGTAACTTCAGGCCTAGTTTACCAACCGAAAAAAGTCTTATTTTAAATATATGTTTAATTTTCTGTGTACTGATCCTTGAGGTCAAGGATCTCTTTTGGGGGGAGTATATTGATACATTGGAATTAGGAATGTGAGGGTAGTTTGGGTATTTAGTATACTCTCTATAAATAGGCCTTTAGGTTGTAATGGGTTATTATGAATGGAATTTATCTCTCTCTTTCTCTCTGTTCTTCTTCTACCTCTCCTCTTTCTCCCTCTTTCTCTTCTACCTCTATCAATGTTACTCAAGGGAATGAATCTGGCAGATCTGTTGCAGGAAATAAGGATGATTTGTCCCCTGATTCTGTGCGTGAGGTTAGGAAAGTTTGGATGCCAATAGTCTTCTTCTTGTTTTTTTTTTTTGGCACTGTTTGGTGGCTGTCTCCACTCACTGGAGATGCATGGTTAGTTTTCAAGAGTTTGGCAGGGAAAGGAAGCAAAACATTTCTGGATAAATGTGATTTGTTGTTTGTGGTCTGGTGTGTTTGGATGGATCTGAATATTAAGGGAAGATTGTAGACATTCCATAGGCTATAATTTTTAGATATGTTCATTTCAAAGAATGTGTTTTTTTATAATGTTTTATCTGATATTCATAGGAACTGGAGAGCTTACGTCTTTGGAGTTTTCTAACCGTTTCCTCTTTACCTTTGTTTATTAGGTTGCTTATCTTCTCGTATATAACTATATACTCCTCTTAGTTATTTCATTCTCTTCTTACTTTAAACAAAAAGGGAATTGATAGCAGGACATTAGCCCTTTTCCCCTCGACTCTATGAAAGCTTTTCTTTGTATATCTTCTATATACACATGTTCTCCTTGATGGTAAGTTCTCTATTGGGCTTTAGTTGTATGTGAAAAAAGAGCAGGAAAAGGGAAAAACTGAAAGGCAGCTTTTGGTAAAGATGTATAGAATGATGTTATGTTATTTATAAACCTTTGGTTTTTTGAAACTTTGGTGGTATAGAAACTCAAAGATTGAAGATTTATGGATTTCTGTTCTATTGTTTTTAAGTTTGACTCTATTGCATACATCTTTGCATGATCCTGCAATGTTGTTTGACAATAAACTACAACCCAAATGACAGGCAGCTGATTGAGTTCTTGCTAGTTGGTCTGTAGGTGATAAGAATGACAATTTTGTAAACTGGGTGTGTTTGTGTTCTTATTTGATAATTTATCTACTGGTATGTTTGTTTGCTGACAGTGGTTGATTTAAAGAGGCTTCAAGTGCAAGCAAGAGATGGACCCTCTGATCCAAATGCTTTGGCCAAGTGGCGGATACTCAACCGCTTGCATGACAGAAATGAGACCATGTACTATAAGGTCATTTCACAATATTTTCCTTTTCTTTGACGATGGAAGAAAAAAACTCAACTATTGTAATTCATGTTTATGTAACACCTCTGGTTACTTAAGAACGTGAGGGCTGGGGTTACAGTGTAAAAGTCTATTATCAGGTGAGATAGGGGAAGCTGTTCACTAATAGCTATTGAAAAATGATTACATGATGTAGCATTTAGGTATTAAAGGGAGAAGTGTACTTTAGCTGTTGTACGCTCTCTCTTTATGCTATTGAAAATAATGTGGTTTAACCATCACACTATCTTCTATATCTAAAGTTAACTTTTAACAGCTCCAGGAAACAAAACAATGAGATTAATAAAATAATTACTAGCTCGATCTTGCAGATTAATTAAATAGACTGCAACTCAGAATCATTTCTCTCTAACACTGCTCAAGTTGGAGCATATATATATATATATATATATGTAATGCTCCAAGCTAATTAGAAATATATTTAACCCAAAGACTTAGATTTAGTAAATGAATTAACTAAGTGATGTTCACACTTGATATAAACTATCTTGATCATGTTTTGCAAAAGATTCTCATTATCTGTGATGATTTGATGAAGAAACTGAATTGAATTCCTGCTCTGAATATTACATGGCAGCCTAGATAATTGTATACATCAAACTGACAGCTAATCAATTATAGGATTGTGCCTGATATTGCACAGCTGACCTATTCTAATAAATATACCATAATAAGGGGATTTGACCTTCCCTTAATCATAATTGCATTGTTCTAAATATTTTCCTAATCTGGCACCCTCATAGAAACTGAATTTCTCTCATAATTATCACATTTTCTACATTGCTGCTTAAGGTGGGGTGTAGATGTTCTGCATCCTCAGCTTGGAGTAATGACTTAGAATGATGAGTCCTTTACCAAGTAATTTGATTAGCTGGCCATCTGTTGATACATAAGAAGTGCAAATTAGATCACTCTCCAAATTTTCTCTTATGAAATCTTGTCAACTTCACTGTGCTTTAATTTTATCACATTGTTTTGGGATGTGAGCAACACTTTCTTTCTTTCTGTCCTTTTTTTTTGGGATTTATTGTCATAATACAGCCTCATTGATTCATTCCACTCAATTATCAGGTATTCCAAAATGATATTCAATGGTTCAACCATAGTAATTCCCAAATCCTAAGTGCTACAAATTTGCATTCGCAGATTCTACTGCACTTTATTTCTTACTCCATTACTTGATTGCTTTGGATAAGTGCAATTGTTTGCAGTGGATCTCTGCTCAACTAGAGAGCAGACATATTCTCATTTTTATTGGCTTCTAGAGATGATTATGTGATCCTTTTGAATAATGTTCCATTTCCTAGAGTGGCCTCCAAATAGTGTAGGATGAGCAGCCTTGTAAGTTTACTGTTTGGGGGTTGTGCATGAATTAACTTATCACACTTATTGCATAAGCCAAAGTCTTGTGTGGGTGAGCTAGATAAGTTTTCCCTCCAATCTGAGGTATATTTTTCTGTCAGCATCTTTGCTTTCCAAATTGGATCAGTTGCAGTGTCAGTTGGTCTAAATGATAGAGCACAATGGCGTCTTGCAATCCATGTAGCTGACTCCACCTAGTGGGATAAAGGCTTGTTGTTGTTGTTGTTGTTGTTGTTGCAGTGTCAGTTGGTCAGCATTTTGACTTTGGCAATGTTTTTTCTTAGAGACCAGTCACATTTTTCTGTGAAATATAGATAACTAGTTTCGAATATTTAAGTTCATTGGAAGCAACTAACTAATAACATGGTGTATTGGTAAGATACAATTAATTATAATATATCCTGAACATTGTAATGATACACAAAATAAAGCTTCAATAGGAAACTGGGTAGAAATTTTTGACTTATGGTTCCTAGAGCTGACCTTGGGACCAGTGCCCTAGCCATCTGGGTGATGGAAATCCCATGATGTATAATGAATAGGAACTTTATGGCCCGGCATGTGATTTTAGTTGTATAGGCTGTAACATATTTTCTGGGACTCATTCATAAGAAAATAGGAGTCTTGCTTATTGCATTTTGTAATCGATTAGACGTGTTCTAATTACAACCTAAGGACAAAAGAGACCAACATGATTATAATTTTATCTTTAATGATATGCACTTGTATGACAGGTTTTGATTGCGAACATTGAGGAATATGCCCCTGTAGTGTACACTCCAACTGTAGGTCTTGTTTGTCAGAACTACAGTGGTTTATTTAGAAGGCCAAGAGGAATGTATTTTAGTGCTGAAGATCGTGGAGAAATGATGTCTATGGTTTATAACTGGCCAGCTGATCAGGTACTTGCTGGTTAATATCACTGTTCCATAAATAATTTATATTTCTTTTACTTGGGCTTATGTATTGCTGTTATAAACATTGCTGCTTTTCCTTTTTTTTTTAAATGATCCCATAGGTTATAATCATAATGTTTGATAGACATGTAACAATGTGGTAATCGTCTTACTTAATTTCATTGTTTAGTTTTTTTCCGTTCCCTCTGGCATACTTGGAGTATTATCTATTTCTTCGGGGCTGTGGTGTTTAGGATTGGAAGAACTGTTAGGGCTCTAACTAGAGATTTCTTCCATGACTACATTTATGAAAAGAATTTACTGAGGGATTGGAGCTCTGTTAGGCTAAATGATTTTTCATTATCTTGTAATAGCTTGTTAGTGGTTCAGGAGTTCTTTAGCCTCTGCCTTTGCATTTCTCTTCTATCTGTTGATGAAATGTTCCTTGCCAAGATGTTTTCTTTGCTATTAGCTGTTGATGCATGTTTATTCCTCATGTGGTACATTTCTGAACTTTGATCTATCCTTCAATGTCTTGATATCATATCTGATGATCCAAAAAACTGAATCTCTCTGATTTTTTATTTCCAGGTTGATATGATTGTCGTTACTGATGGTAGCAGAATTCTGGGTCTTGGTGATCTTGGGGTTCAAGGAATTGCCATTGCAATTGGAAAGTTGGATTTGTATGTTGCGGCAGCAGGAATAAACCCTCAAAGGGTATATCAGTGTTCCTGGTTTCACTATTTTTTCCTTAGAATTAAAATCTTTCATTTTGATTGCTGACTTGCCATATTAAAGTTTTCTGTAGGAAATTAGGGCCTAACTGGGCTTGAGTTCATATTAGTTGGTCAATCAGTTTTCTCATGCGTATGTTTTATTCCTTAAACCAGAAAAACATATCTACAAGTCTCCTAGGGTTTATTTTCCTAAAATATAGAAAAATATAAACTACTGAAATAAAAGGAAAAAATATAAAAGAAAACAAAGAGAGCAGTAGACTAAAAACACAAATAGGCCAATTCCCAACAAGTGGTAGTGTTAGATATCGGATGGTTTAATACTAGAAAAGAATTGTTAGGAAAATGTTGTAATATGATAAACACGGTGACTAGCTGCACTTAAATTTGCCTATTACATTTTCTTTTATGCTTAAACTGTTTTTTGGGTATGCTTTGTTCTGTCGAAACCATTACTTCCCTGCTCACTTATTGATTGACACAGCTGACTATCAATTTAATAAATTTTACTTAAGTCTGCTATAGAGTTTTCAATTGGAATGATCTGATTAAGTTTCAGTATTTTCCACTCTCAGGTACTTCCTGTGATGATTGATGTTGGGACTAACAATGAGAAGCTACTTAAAGATCCATTATGTAAGAATTTCTGTATCTAGTTAGAGAACAATCTACATCAATTGCAAATATTTTGTAAGTAATGATGAGCTTAATTCTAGTGATTAGTTTTTATGAGAGAAATATTTTGTAATTAATCCTAGGGCAGTGTGGAATTTGAGTGAAAATATTCTCATTGATTCTGAATAGTGAAATACAACTAGGTATTTATGCAGTAGGATGAGGAAATAATAAGAATGACTAATAACTACTAATAAAGACTAATAAAGCCTAAGAATATTTACAACAGCAATAATATAATATTTACAATAAATGTCTATATTTGCAACAGCAATAATATAATATTTACAATAAATGTCTAATATTTCCACACTCCCCCTCAAGTTGGATCATAGATGTTAATCATGTCCAACTTGCTTATGCAATTCTTTGTAGGCAAATATGTCAAACACAGAATTCCTTCATCCACTTTTTCTTTGATGAAGTGTTAGTTGATCTCAACATGCTTTGACCTGTCATGTTATACTGGATTTAAAGCCATGTTTATGGTAGCCTTATTATCATAGTAGAGCTTCAATGGTGAGCTTGCTCCGACCTGTATCTCATTTAAGACTCATTTCAGCCACAACGCCTTAGCAATTTCTTGAGCTAAACCTCTGAATTCAGATTCAGCACTACTTTTGGAAACAACTCTTTGCTTCTGGTTTCTCCATGTCACTAAATTTCCCACACAAATGAGAAATAACCAAAGGTTGATCTTTGATCTTTATACATTCCACCCTAACTTGCGTTGGTGTGCACTTCGATGGATCTTTGCTCATCTTTTCTAAAGAACAAGCCTCTACTAGGAGTACCTTTCAGATATCTCAAGATTTTATATACTACCTCTATATGACTCTTCATTAAACAACTCATATTGATTAGCTGCATTGATAGTGAAGGCTATATTGGCCTTGTATGAGAGAGATATATCAGTTTTCCAGCGACCTTTGATATCTCTCTTTGTCAGCTGCTGCTTCTTTTTCTTTGACTTCATCCTCTTCATCACCTTCCTCATTTACCTTAAGCTTCTTCTTTGGTTTTTTGATCTCAATGGGTGTTTCAATAGTGCTACAGCCCATCATACCTATATCTATTAGGAGATCAAATATATATTTTCTCTGAGAAACATAGATTCCTTTTCTTGACTTGGCAACTTCCATTCCAAGAAAGTAGTTTAGCTTCCCAAGATCCTTGACTCCAAATTCCTTTCCAAGGGTAGCCTTCACTCTCTCTATCTCCTCAAGGTGATCTTCAGTGAGTATTATATCATCGACATAGACAATAAGGATACATTTCTTGCTTCCCTCGATTTTAACAAACATTGTATGATTCAACAGAGTTTCCTGTAATCTTTGGACCTTAGGACTTTTGAGAACTTATCAAACCAAGCTCTCGGTGACTGTTTCAAGCCATATATAGACTTTTTCAGTTTACAGACTTGAGTTTCTTTGCCTTTATTAAACCTAGGAAGCAGAGTCATATAGACTTCTTCCTTTAACTTGCCATTTATAAAGGCATTTTTGATGTCAAGTTGGTGAAGAGGCCACTCAAGATTACCTGCTACAGATAACAAGACTCTTGATAGTATTCAATTTTGCCACCAGAGTAAATGTTTCTTCATAGTCCTAGCCATATGTATATGTTTGGGTGAATCCCTTTGCAACTAAGCGTGCTTTCAACTTGTCAAGAGTTCCATTAGCCTTGTATTTTGGAGTGAACACCCACTTACAACTCACTGTTCTGTTACCTTTAGGTAGCTAAACAAGTGCCCATCCATTCTTTTTTAGGGCCCTCATTTCTTCCATGACAACGCTCCGCCATTCAGGGATGCTTAGACCTTCTTGTATAGTCTCAGGTATCTTCACTTTATTAAGATTTGCAACAAAGGCACGATATTGAGAAGAAAGTGCATTGTATGAAACAAATCTCTCTATTGGATGGAAAGTACATGAGCGAGTTTGCTTCCTCAAAGCAATAGGAAGATCAAGATTAGTAGATTCACTTACTGGTTCTGTATCATCCATCTTTGGGTTTTTAAAAGTTGCCCCAAATTCTAAGTCTTCATAAGCTTCTGCTTTAAGAGCTACCTTTGGTTCTAACTCTCTTGGCATTTTAGGTACAAGTTGTTCACTGTCTTTCGATTTCCTCCTTCGAGTGTAGACAAGCAATTCTCCCTTTTATGGTTTTTCTGCATCTCTTCCTCTCTGCCCGTGTTCCTCAACTTGTGGCATAAGAGGAGATGGTGGTGTAGGTAGAATAGGTGATAGTAATGGCTTAGTTGGTGTAAACCATAGTTCAAAGAGCACTAGTTCTTGGTTAGGTTTTTGATCCCAAGTTTGAGATTGATTCATGTTCTCCCCCTAAATTGAATGATTGGGATAGAATGGAGTATCTTCCTTGAAAGGTGGCATCAAGGTTGACAAATGTGCTTTGAGATAGGGTTAAATCACTTGTATCCTTTTTGCGTAGCAGAATAGCCAAGGAAAATATATTTGATAGTGCGAGGTTCAAGTTTGGTGCTTTAGTGGTTATGAGCAACTGTTGTGCAGCCAAACACATGAAGTAGAAGATTAGTTTCAATATGAGATGTTGAAAAAGCACTTTGCAATTTGTGGAAAGGAGTTTCAAAGGATGAGATTCAACTGGGCATACAGTTGATTAGGTAGGTTGCAGTCAAAATAGCATCCTCCAATAAAATTTTGGCACATTGCAAGTAAATATAAGTGCTCTAGCAACATCAAGTATATGGCAATTTTTTCTTTTGGCAACCCCATTTTGTTGCGATGTATGTGCACAAGAACTAATATGGATAATATCATGCATTTGGAAGAAAGTACTTAAAGATTGATTAAAATACTTAGTGCCATTATCGGTGTGTTAGACTTGGATGGTAGTGTTGAATTGGGTTTTGATCATGTTGAAGAAATTGATGAATGTGGATGCAGCTTCTGACTTGTTTCATGAAAGGTAGACCCAATATACATGAGTATGGTCATCAATGAAGGGAATAAACCATGTTGTTTTAATACGGTTAGAAGTACAAGAAGATCCCCACAAATTACTATGAATGGTTGTGAAAGGTTTGGTGTGTGTGTGTATGTGGCTTTAGGAGAGGAAGTTATGTGGTGTTTGGCAAGTTCATACACTTCAGAATGAATGTTATTAATATTCAAGTTTAGGCAAAGGGTTAGAAATGATCGTTTAAGGTATTGAAAATTAAGGTGACCCATCCTCTTATGCCACAACATAAAGGTATTCACTGTAGAGATAGACGTAGAGTTACCGACAATCAGTGAGTTACCTACTTAAGTGGAGACTTCAAAATAGTAGAGCCCCTCATACTCCTTAGCACTTTTGATTGTCCCTCCGGATGATAGATCTTGAAATACACAATGGGATGGAAGAAATTTAGCATAACAATTTGACTGCTTAGTTAGTTGACTAATGGAAAGTAAATTGCAATCAAGCTTAGGCACATGTAGTACAAATTCCAAAGTTGGAATCTATAATTCGAATACTCCCTTTTTCTGCTATAGGTGCTAATGAGCCATCTGCAATCTTGACTTTAATATTCCCAGCACACGGGGTGTAATTGGTAATAACTCATGACAATTAGTCATATGCTTAGAGGCTCTGGAGTAAATGATCTACACTGTTTTATTTCGTGACATTGTTAAAGCTTGAAGGAAAGTCTCCCATTTAGCCACTGTTGCCATGTGAACAGACTTGGATTGGGTAAGTTTGATATTGGAGAGTACTCGTAAGATTACTCTGATCAATATAAGAATTTTCGCATAGCAGAGGAAAAAGGAACACCACATCCCCATAAACAGTGAGTAGTCACATAGACAGAAGAAGAGGAATATGAAAAACATGTTGCCTAGACCTGGGACACATTGGAATCGAGTTGGAAATGTCACGCTGACGACAGAGGAAGGCATCGCGGCCACCCTAGTTCCCCCTACTATCCCATCTACCACCGAGCACTCTCTAAGGTAGAATCTTTAGTCGGCACGTGGGAGTGCCATGTGTTGCTGCCATCGAACTCTAGGGTTTTGTTGATCGGACCCTTGTGTACCTCCTTAGGTCGACGGTGAGATCTAGAATGCCCTCTACCACCATGAACAATGATGACCAGAGACACTTCAAAGGCCACATCTAATGAGACATCACCTAGAAAACCCTAGACGCCTTCAACCAAAGACCTTAGATGCACAAGCTTTGATACCATGTGGAATTTGAGTGAAAATATTTCTCATTGACTCTGAATAGTGAAATACTAGGTATTTATACACCGGGATGAGGAAATAATAATAATGACTCATAATGACTAATAACTACTAATAAAGAGTAATAAAGCCTAAGAATATTTACAATAGCAATAATATAATATTTACAATACAACAACAACAGTAGCAACAACAAGTCTTTATCCCACTAGGTGGGGTTGGTTACATGGATTGTAAGACGTCATTGTGCTCTATCATTTACCAAGCTTTTAGGAATATTATTAATTAAGAGATCGCATTTAACAATTTCTAAGAGTGTTCTCTTAGGCCTTCCTCTACCTCTCTTAACAGGGCTTAAAGTTATATGTTTCACTTTTCTCACTGGTGCTTCCTGTGGTCTTCTTTGTACATGGCTAAATCATCTGAAACGATTTTCTACCATTTTTTCCTCAATAGGTACTATCCTTATTTTTTTGCGTGTGTACTCATTTTGAATTTTATCTTTATGTATATGTCCGCACATCCATCGTAACATTGTCATCTCTGCTACTCCAACTTTATGCTCTTGCTGTCCTGTTAGAGCCTAGCATTCGCTGCTATATAACATAGCTAGTCTGATAGCAGTACGATAAAACTTTCTTTAAGTTTATCAGGCACTTTACGGTCGCAAATAACTCTTTTAGCTTTTTTCCAATTAAATCACTCAGCTTGAATCCTATGTGAAATATCCCTATTGATTTTGCCATCATTTTGAATAATCGCTTCCAAATATTTAAACTTTTTCACTTGAGGTATAATTTGATTTTCCAATTTCACTTTTAAATTACTGTCGACTAGTCTCTTACTAAATTTACAATATAAATATTCCTTCTTACTCTTGCGCGGACGGAAACCTTTTGACTCCAATGTCTCCTCCATAACTTAATTTTATAATTAATCTCTTCTCTTGTCTCTGCTATAAAAACTATATCATCTGTGAAGAGTATACATTTGAGAATTTTTCCTTGAATATGTTCTGTCAAAACATTTAAGATCACATTAAACAGATAAAGGACTCAAAGAGGATCCTTAATATAGTTCAATCTTTATAGGAAAGTTCTTTATTTGACCACTAGATGTTCTTATACTAGTTTTTAACCCCTCATACATATCTTGTATGATTGTAATATAAGCAATTCGTACTCCCTTCTTTTTCAAGGCTTTCGAAAGCACTTTTCTTGGTATACGGTCATAAGTTTTTTTTCAAATCAATAAAAATCATGTGTAAATTTTGATCTTTACAATGATATTTTTCCATTAATTTCTTAGTAAATAAATCACCTCTGGAGTTGATCTACTTGGCATAAAACCACACTGATTCTCAGAAATACTTGTTTCCAATCTCAACCTATGCTCAATTACTTTCTCTTACAATTTCATTGTGTGGCTCATGAGTTTAATTCTTCTATAGTTAGTGCAATTCTAAATATCCTTTTTATTTTTATAAATAAGAATTAATGTACTTCTTCTCTAGTCGTCAGGCATTTTCTTGGACTGTAAAATCACATTAAATAACTTAGTTAACTGTCTCATCCCTTCTTCACCTAAATATTTCCACACTTCAATAGATATACAATCAGATCCGTTGGCTGTACCATTTGTCATTTTCTTAAGAGCTTCCTTTACCTTGTTATCACGTATTATTTGATAGAATGACAAATTTTGTTCTTCTTCACGAGTTACTAAACCCTCCAAGCTACTAGACGAATCTTCTCTATCATTGAAAAATTTGGAAAATAAGTCTCTCATCTGTTTTTAATTTCATCATCTGTAACTAAAATTTTTCCCTCTACCTTATCTGTTTTAGATCTCTTGATTTTCTTTCCTTACTCTTAGCAATCTTATAAAATGTTTTGTTCTCCTTCCTTTATCTCAAGGCTCTTATAAAATTTTTCAAAAGCTTTAGAACGAGTTTCACTCACAGCTCTCTTAGTTTCCTTCTTAGCCATACGGCACCTTTCTCAATTTTCCTCATTGTTACACAAATGTATGGCTTTGAAACAGTTCTTCTTATGTTTGATTTTGTCCTATACACTATTATTTCACTACCAAAACTCCTTATCTCTTGGACCAAAAACCTTTTGATTCTCCCAAAACTACTTTTGCAATCTCTCTTATCTTTTTAGCCATATTCGGTCATCCCTTCTATCTCGGGTTCTTGAGAAAAACTAGCACTTTCTACATTCTCACTTTTAGGAACCTCTTTCAATTCAGAACTTCAGATTATGGTTGTGCTTCAGTCATAATAGTTTCCCTTTTTCTCCATTTCTTCCTCCAGTAGGTTATTGGTGTCTTTTCCAGTGTAATACCAGCATCTTTATTGTATTTTGAAGGACTTTCACTTCAGTTTCTGGCCTAGGAGATTGAGGATTTTCTGGTATAGGTAATAAAGGATCTGAGCTTGGAAAAAAGGGATCTTGGAGACCTTGGATTGTGTATTTCTCACTTCTCTCACTTTCCAAAGGCTGAAAGTCACTCCCCCTCCCCCCTGACTTGAAGCATTTGGATAAAAATGTTCATTTTCAGCAAAGGTAATATCCTAGCTGATGTAAAGTCTTTCACATGAGGGTCAAAACATTCATACCCGTTATGTGTGGAAGAATAACCAAGAAAGAGACATTTGACAGCTTTGGGTTCCAATTTGTGGGAATGATGAATGAACATAGGTGGTGCAGCCAAATATTTTAAGGGGAAGATTAGTGGCGGTGAGTGACAGAGTGAGATTCTTGTAATTTTTCTAGTAGTGAAATATAAGAGAGAACATGACTTGGCATGTGGTTGATTAAGTATGTAGCTGTAAGAATTGCATCACCCTAAAAATATTTAGGAACATTGTAGGTAAAGAGGAAAGCACGTGCAACTTTTAAGAGGTGTTTGTTTTTTCTTTCCACAATGCCGTTTTGTTGAGGAGTGTTAGGACAAGTGCTTTTATGAATAATTCCATGTTCTGTTAGAAACATATGCATGGTTTTATTGAATTTTCAGTTCCATTATCAGTATGAAGCACTTGGATTGTGGTGTCAAACTGGTTTTTTATCATTGTATAGAACTCAAAGAACATAGAGGGAACAGTGGATTTATCTTGTAATTAGTGAACCCAACACATTCTAGTGTGATCATCAATACATTTGATGAACAACTTTGTATTAGTTTGGTTAGTGACACGAGTAGGACACTATAAATCACTATGAATAATAGAAAAAAGACGAGTAGATTTGTACTCAACAGGTTTGAAAACGGATCTGCGATGTTTAGCGAGCTCACAATCAGTACAATGAAATGGAGACTTTTTATTGACTTGAAGTTTAGGAAACAAATGACATAAATACTAGAAATTTGGGTGACCTAGTCTCCTATGCCATAACATAAGATCTTTGAAGTCTTTATTTTCAGAAGTAGACGTGACATTGCACTAAATTTGAGACCAAAGGCTGCTCACAGTTGATTCATCAAGGTAGTAAAGACCATTATGCACCTTAGCACTCCCAATCATCTTCCCCAAGGAGAGGTCCTGAAAAATACAATGAGTGGAATAGAAATGAGCCTAACAATTTGCCTGTTTAGTTAATTTACTAATACACAACAAATTACAAGCCAAATATGGTATATGTAAAACTTGTTCTAATTTTATAGCTTCAGAAATAACAACACTGCCTGTTCTTGCTGTTGATGAAGATGACCCATTTGCTGTACTCATTGTTTCATTTCCAGCATGAGGGACATAGGTACTAAATAGCTTAGAATCTAAAGTCGTTTGATCAATTGCCCCTGTATCGACAATCCATTTGAAGTTACTAGTAGAGGTAAGTAAGACACAATTACCTTTATGAGCTATAGATGTAGTATGATTTGGTTTTTGATTTTTCTCATTTTTTTGAAGCATATTGAGCACCTTAAGTAACTTTCTAAGTTGTTCCTTATCAATCTCAGGTGCTAATGAGGTTGAATCTATTTTATTTGGTGGCACATCATGAGAAGTCTAGTATCCTCGTGATTTTCCTTTTCTTGGCTTCCAATTAACTGGCTTGCCATGGATATCCTGGCAAGTTTCACGAGTATGCCTAGTCTTTTTGCAATGTTCACAAGTAACCTTCCTTTTTTGATTCTTCTAATTTGCATCTCTACTCTTGCTTACAATGGCAGCAAAATCTAGAGCAGGTATTGGAGTAGGAGTAGTGCTAGTAAGCATTTCCTTGCATCTTGAAGCCTCATGACGTACCTCAGAGAGGACTTCCCTTGTTGATGGGAGTGGTGCACGACTCAAGACTCAGTCTTGTACATCATCTAGGGATTGATTTAATCCAGCTAGAAATTGTAATACGCGCTCACTTTCAACTTTCTCCTTATATTGAATTGCATCACTACCGCTAGACCATTCCATATCTATCATTAAGTCTAGTTCCTGCCATATAGCATTCAGTTCTAACCAGAAGGCAGTGACATCGTGATCTCCTTGTTGCAGCGTCTATGCCTTAGTTTTGAGCTCGTATATTTGAGCCAAATCCTTCCGTCAGAGTTTGAATCTCATATAGCCTTCTAGATTTCATGGGTTAGGGGAGAAACATAAAACTTTGTTGAACTTCTGGAATCATGGCATTTATTAACCATGATGATACTAGTGAATTTTCAGTGTGCCATTGTTGGAACTCTTGTGTCTTGGACTCTTTTGGGATTTTCGATGAACCATCAAAATAGTCCATTTTCCCTCGGCCTTCGGTTGTGAGTTTAATATCCCGTGCCCACATATAGTAATTTGTACTGTTTAGTTTCACGGATATAATGTGTACTGATGATCCTTTGTGGCTGGTAGTCGACCCGAAGGGACCACCCACCCTACTCGGATCAGTCTTCGAGGACCCATCACTGTTCGACATGGGAGAATTGTGGATTGGGTTCGACTCGTGCTCGTACTCTCTGTTTTAGAGTTTTAGGCGTTAGATAGCACTGGAGAATCATGTAGCTCTAATACCATGTAGTGAATGAGCTGAGAAACTCTTGTATATTCATCCTAGGTATGTACACGGATATATACAGGAGAGAAAGCAATCATATCTCTGAGAATAATGGAGACCGAATTAGAGGAGGAGAAATAGGGAATAAATTGCATAAAATGCTCCTTATCTTAACTACTCGGTATCCCTCCTAATAACAACAAATATTTACATGAAATATGATAAATACTAGGTCCAACCACACAACTACTCATGTGCGATAGAGAAAAAGGCTGCACTAACCATGGTCGAAGAGGTCGATGCGATTATAGACATGAAGGTCATTGAAATCAAGATGATGAACCATGCAATAGAGATGAGCATAGGTGTCCGACCCAGTTTACAAAGACGGAGCTTCCTAAGTTTTCTTGGTTAGATGTCGTGGGTTGGCTCATGCATTGTGAAAGATTTTTCAAAGATACCTTA